TTTTTTTTTTTTTTTTTTTTTTTTTTTTTTTTTAAGTTTTTGCCATAGGGCATGTACTCTTTCTGGAGAAAGACAGAGGAGGGAAAATAAAAAATTACCCCAAAGAGGGATGGCCATGCCACAATCTCTTCTTCTTCGTTCTCCTCCTGGGATTTGGGGCATGAATGCACACACAGCTGGCTGTCAGACATGTGGAAGCCTAGTGCCTTAACCACAATGCCACTTGCTGGCCCACTAGGCCAAATTTCTCAAATAAGATACCTAAAGACAGGCAATAGTCTCCAAATAAACAAGTGGAAATATATCAAGCTGAAAAGCTTCTTCACAGCAAAGGAAACAATAATAAGTGAAACAGCCCTCTGAATGAGGGAAAATATTTGCAAATTATTCCTCAGACATGGGACTGATATCCAGAATACATAGGGAACTTAAGCAGCTCACTTATATTAAAAAGGGGGGGGGGCAAATAAATTGAATAGACAACTCTCCAAGGAAGACTTATGAATGGCCAAGACGCATAAGAAAGAATGTTCAAAGTCTTGTCATAAGGGAAATGGAAATTAAAACCACAGTGAAGTACCATCTAATCCTAGTTAGAATGGCTAGGCTCAAAAAAATAAAGAACAAGTGCTGGCAAGGCTGTGGTGAAAAAGGAACCCTCTTATACTGTTGGTAAATTACTAATTGGTCAAAATTTATGGAAAACAATATAGAGGTTTCTCAAAAGCCTACAAATGGGGACCAGCAGATGGTGTAATGGTTACATCACTGGACTCCCACATATTTGACCACAGTTTGAGTTCCAGACTTGGCGGCTTAAAATTCATGCTGAGCACGTGTGTGTGCGTGTGTGCCCAAAATCCCAAGAGAAGAATGGAGAAGAAGAGATTGGGGTGTGACCATCCCCCTGGGGGGCAATTTCTTGCTTTCTGTCTCTTTGTCTCTATGGCAAGTGCACACTCCCTATAGCAAAAGTCTCTCTTAAACACACACACACACACACACACACACACACACACACACAAAACTACAAATAAGACTGTAATATGACCCAGTAATCCCATCCCTTAGTATTTGCCCAAAGGATAGGAGAACAATCATATAGTCACTTGTACATCCATGTTTATTGCAGCATTATTCACAATTGCTACAACATGGAACCAACCTAAGTGTTCAAAAACTGATGACTGGGTTGTAAAATTGTGGCTTTTAAATACTATAGAATATTACACAGCTATAAGAAATAATGAGTTCCTACCATTTGACTCAAAATGGATGACTATAGAGGACTTAATATTGAGCTTCAAAGTAAGCAGACTTTGAAGATACACATTGTATATCCCCATTCAATTTGTACTGAGTGTCTGCACTTTATGGCAGAAGTTGAGAGATCCAAAGATGTGTTAGTAGAGAGGATGAATCTGAATGCTAGAGCCCACAAGAGGGGAAAGTGGTTGGTAGAGAGTGGATGCTGAATGGTAGGTATGAGAAAAGTAATTTTTTTAGGGCAGTAATGTCTGCTTAAAAGCATTATTTGCCTTTTAAACTAGTCTGCATATTGCTTCATGAATGCTTTATCAAATTTTGAAAGTTTAAGTTGAATATTACAAATGATAAACTTATGTTTACAAGAGAAAAGCAAATTGAAACTTTTTTGGGATTGTCTGGAAATGGTTCAGTCTAGTGTAAATCTGTTCATTTGTCATCAAAAGAGCATCTTGCCTAAAAGAAAGAACTGACAAGTGTGTAGAAGGTTCACAATCTTTCATGAAATGTAATTTATCATTAGTTTGTATCTGTAAGTTACTGTTATAAATATTGCCTGTAGTTTTTGTTATATACAACTTCATTAAAAAACAAACAAATGCATAGGAAAGAAAAGAGTAGAGTAAGATATATTTAAGAAAACTATGCAGCGCCCTCTCTCTCTCTCTCTCTCTCTCTCTCTCTCTCTTTCTCTCTCTCCCCTCTCTTTTGTTGAGCTTCTGTGGAATGCATAATCTAATGGCAGTGAAATTTGCTGTAGTGATTCTAAGACAATTGTCCAGGGTACCTTAGGAAGGCTGGCCTATGTGATTTACTGAAATTTACTTTTTAACTAGAGTTTTAAATTTTTTAAAATATTAAGTGTGTGTGTGTGTGTGTGTGTGTGTGTGTGTGTATGTGTGTGTGTACAGAGGGGGATAACCACACCACAACCCCTTCTCCATTCTTCTCTCAGGATTTTGAACATGCATGCACACACTCCCAGCATGAGTTTCGCACCGACAGGTCTGGGACTAGAACCGAGGCTGGCCATGTGGGAGCCCAGCAACTTAAACACTATGCCATCTGCTGGCCTGAAAATGTGTGTATATTAAAGCTAATGATGCCCTTAAAAAATAGTTTAAAGGTCCAGCAGGTGGCATGGAGGTTGAGGCACTGAACCGCCACATGGCTGACCAAGGTTCTAGTCGCAGAACTGGTGGCTTGCC